TGCATTTGAGAATTTTGTGTTTATTGTACCCATCATTAGTCAAAATAAATATGTCCTCAGGAAGTCCTTCACCTTAACTGGGACGCATGCTTGAAAGATTTATGCAGCAGCACATCTGATATCTGTGCACAAAAGTAACAACTTCACTGACTGAATCAATGCTTTGTGCTTTTGTGCAGTTCACAGACTTGAGAGCTGTGTTATCAGTGAAACACACCTGAGGAGAATCTCTGAATGCTGACAAAGCGCTTCTTGGAATATAAGCAGAAAATATTTTGGTTAAAGCAGCACGTGAAACAATGACAGCATAGTTTAGTGGGATGAAATACATTTAACCAAACTCAAAATGAATTTCTTGTCTAAAAGCCATAAATGTCTGAAGTTCTTGGATCTGAACCTAAAACCCTCAGAAACATGGCGTCTAACCAGGTACGTCAGTGGATGGCGTCATCGTGGCTTCCAGGACTAGTTCTGGAGTCATTTTTGACCAGGACATGTCAGACCACGTTTTTCCATCTGTGGCCAAACCTAAAAATGTCCTGTGATACTAAGAAACTAAGAAACTCTTCCTCTAGGCTGGTCAGTTGGAATTTTTTCTGACAAAGTTGTTGTAAAAGAAAAATAGATCAGGTGTTACGTCAGTAAGCACCAAACACACACAGCCTGCTGAAAGTCTCTCAGCTACCGGCCTGGACATCATCACCTCTTTTTAACGCTTCCTTAAACATGAAGGATTGATGCTAAACATTTAAAATCTGAATTGCAGTGCTCGGATATATTTCAAATGCTTTTAAAGTTATCGCCAAAATATTTAGCTTTAGTGTTCACTGAGCATGTTGTGGGTATCACACTAAACATGCATTAAAACCTCGCAGGTGTGTGAACATTCAACTTAAATGTGCATCAGACCAGGTGACTATGTCCATCCTTTACATACAGCCTACACTCAATACATCACATGACCTTGAGCGCATACACAGTTGATTTAGATTCATGTTGTGTTTGGAGTTGCCACATTATAAATGTAACATTCATCTGACTTATATATTTACCAAATCATAAGACATCTCGTGGCACTTAAGAAAGAAAAGTCACGACTTCACAATATCACAGAGAGAAATCAGCATCTGCCGTGGAGTTTTGTTTCCACTACAATGAAAGAGGATGGATAATGACAACAAACCTTGGATGGGTGGATTCCCTTTCGGGTGTAAGCTTTATTTCCATGGTGCACCAAGATTACCTGAACTTACTGACATGGTGTGTGGTTGGAAACAGAACCCGAGAGTCTTGTCGTGAGGTAGCCATAAAAACTACTACTGATCACCATTAACTTACTTCACCTGACTTTGACTGGTTTGGGTCTTTTTACTGAATAAATTATTTCATTTTGTAGATTTAAGACTCATTAGATGAAAAAAGTGCTTCTTTAGAGAACTTGTGAAGCTTAAATGAGATAAAGAACGGAAAGAGAAAAATCCTGACTGTTTAGATTCCATCCTGAAGTTGAGAAGCATTGGTTGTCCTGTACAACTGAGGGGTCCAGGCCAGGAATCTTATCACTGTGTAAAACATCTATGTGTTTTATCAAAGAGAGAGGATGTTGGACTGTGGTAGAGATAACACAATCTCAGTGGCTAGCATTTGTGAAGGGCAGCGTGTGATGCTGTGTGCCAAGGTGAGACCAGAAACACCAACACACGAGGCAAATAAACACGCCTTTGCAGCAAGATGGTTATCTCCTGCAGATAGTAAGCCTCAGGTTCTGGGCTCTTACATAATCGTGTCTGAAATCCATCCTGTCACACCCCCACCACCCTAGCCCTCCAGCTGTCAGTGGTGGTGTTGTGCCCAAGGGAATCAGCAGCCTTGACTAGCTGTGATCTGATTAGAGGCTAGTTGGGGTGGCGGGCAGTTGGGGGCAGGAGGGTTAGGACAACCTGTTAAAAGCCACTCCATCAGCCTTGAGGAGATAAAGCGATGTCTCCTGGACCTCCAGCCTGCTCTGCGCTCATGATGCAATCAGCAGCCCCACTTAGCACCATCACTCACTGACAGGATGACCTGTGTGCACTTTAACATGTGCCCGATTCAGGAACAAAACAGTAAGAATATTTTGAAAGTAGGTTGAATGTAAAGTGTTAGGTCGGTGAATCGATCCCTAACTTCTTGGGCAGCGTAATGAACCCCAGTGAATGACACTTAGTAGCAAGTCCTTTGAATGATCAGCTGAGTACAAAGGTACAAGCACCAGTCAGTTTACAGAGGAGGGATGGGTGGTAGATAATATACCAAACCCTGTGTCCATCTGCTGGACGAGGCCCTCTTCTTTTAAATCTTTTATTCTTTCATACATGCTGAGAAGCACCTGCATCTTGCTGCACTGGATGTGTATGGCTGGATTCTGCACACTTTCCTTGCTGAATTATTTGACCCTTTGTCATTTCAGGGTAAGAATGGTGACTAGAGCCTGTTACAGCTATTACGGGACAAGAAGCAAGGTACATCCTGGATGGGTTGCCAGTCTCTCACAGGGTCACCATAGAGAGATGGCGATTAGTGTAACATGCATGTCTGTGAGCAGTGGCACAAAGCTGAGGTACCCAGAGAACATTCCCAAACATTCCCACTTTGTTATAACTGCAGTATGACTGTGGAATATTTGGTAGCGAGGAAATTTCTGGACTTGTTGCACAGGTGGCATCCTGTCACGGTACCACACTGGAATTCACTGAGCTCCTGAGAGCGACTCATTCATGCAGTCTGCACGCCTGTGTGCTTGATTTTATACACCTGTGGCCATGGAAATGATTGGAATACCTGAATTTCATTATTTGGATGGATGAGTGAACAATTTTGGCAATGCAGTGTTGTGATATACCAAATGACATCACCACAGCTCTTTAGATAGTGCCACTGAGCTTAGAGGATGATGCAGGTAATTACAGGATCATCTGTTGGCCTAGATGAAAACTACACCATAAACTGTAATCAAACCACATCTGACCACGTGGTTGCATCTGCTGTACAGTTTACATAAGATGTAGCCCAAGTCACGATACGAGGGATTTATTATGAGCCAACACTGGGTCTTTATTTCCCATCATTAGACAATCATGAAGGAACAGTACGATCAAATAAGATCAAGTAAAATACTGCAGGAGTTATTGAGGTTTGTTTGTAACCCATCAATTTACAGAGAAATTTGCCCAACAAACCTAATGTAATATTATACTTTTAAAAATGTGATTTCTGAGTGATGAAGGTGAATATAATAAACTGCTTTATTTTACATTACTTTGATTCCATAAAGTGTTGCAAATGTCACTATAAGTGATGATACATAGAAACATTAATGCTGGTATCCTGTGAGCTATTTTTTCAGTCTAATATAACCTGGTATAAGATTGTAGACGTCTACTAAGCCTAGCAAAGAAAGTAAGAACATTTGGGTTTGATCATTGTTGCAACAATAAATCCTGTACAGCTGGAAAGCCTGTTGCTACATTTGTAAGGATGAAAAACTTGCCAGTTGTTGTGATCTTCTGGTAACCCAGATTGTGCCTGTATCAAAATTTGTGGCTGTGTATGCTTCTTCCACTGAGGCCCGTTTGTTACAATGTATATACCAGTCAACAGCAGTTTATATTTTATATCTGTACTGCATGAAGCTTTTAGTTGGACCATAATTTATGTTTTGTACTACACTCTTTGTCTAACATACTGTGTAAACCAACAGGAACCACAAACTCAAATGTGAGGAAGAAGCCTGGCTGAGAGGCCCTGAGTGTGTGTGTGTGTGTGTGTGTGTGTGTGTGTGTGTGTGTGTGTG